AAGGAGTGCCTCAGAGCTTGAGCTGTTCCCCCACTCCTCTAATACTATTGTTAGTCTATAACAGTGGTCATTTATTTTCTCTTTGTTTCTTTTATTTTTTTTTAATAATATATGTATGAAGGCTCAAATATACTAAGAAGCATGTTGAATTAAAATAGTTTTAATTATGATAGGGAGAAGACCACTCATTCTTTCTCATACTTTAGCTGTACACTGAATGGTTTTTAACACTTATCTCTATGTACAAGTTTTTGATCAATGAGCAAACCGAGTAACAAGAACACATTGTACCTGTATGAAATCTCTTAAGTTAATCCTATGTTGTTTTCATTATCTCTGTAAATAATTGCCACCACTAATGTTTTCTTTTCCCATTTCTTCCATCAGCCTTTTTCCAAGTGGATGAAAAAAGTGCACAATTTTTTAATACTGGTCTTTGGTGATGGTCTAACTTTTTACTGCCCATACAAATAATTAGAGCAGTGTTTCTTTCTGTTGCTAGAAGTTTTAAGTACTGTCATTGAAAGAATTATGTTCTAATTTGAGGATCATTATAAGAATTATTATTCTTGAACATCAAGAAGTTTGTAGTATTTTTTTACAACTTCATTATAATAGACCATTTGAACTATGGTAAAGCAATTTTACTCCATGAAAAGAAAGTTTTTTGGCAGTGGAACAAATGATGAAAGAAATTGTAAAACAATTACCAACCTCTTAGCAAGAGTCAGATGAGCTAGAGGAACTCTATGTCTCTAAAACCCTTGTGAAGTTTAGGTTACTCATCATGTAGGGGTGAATCAACTGTTACATCTTCAGAAATGCTATTGCATATACTGTTTATGTCATTATTGAATGTGACAGTAAACCACCAGCAGTGCTGTAAAACCAGAAGGTCATAGCACTTTATGAACAGTTACAACTTACGCCCTGTGCCCATTGGACTCAGAAGGGGTGATGGCTTGGGCTTTGGTGACTGATTTTGGAAGTCCAGGTGGGATGTGCATCTTTCAAACAATTAGGTCTGATTCTAATCTCACTCAAATTCAATGATGGTTACTTTAGCAGTAGTAATCAAAGTGAGTATTTTACTCGTGGTAGTTTTTCAGCTATTGAATTAAACCTTCATTTCTGAAAGTGCTGATTTGCATTTAAACAAGGTGAGGTTTATCTGTCTCCCCATCACTGGCATTCTGTATGAGTAATGTGTACATGTATGCGATATCAAACTGCATGAGTGCAGATATGACTCCTCTAAACTCAGAGTTCAGTGTTTGCCTAATTACTTACAGACTTTTGAGATTAAAGTGACAAGATCTTTTGTTTTAAACGAGAAGCTCACATTCTTTACTCATGAGCTCTTCTCTTTCCCTCTTGATGATCATGGGCAACATTCTTGCAAACAGACACCCCCCTCTGCAAGAAAGCCTTTGTAACATGTGGTTGACCTAATTGTGCAGCGACAGTACTGCTGCTGCGAATCTGGAAAGATCCCTGCTACAGCACTCATGTGGGCTTAGCAGTGTCTGCAACCTGAAGCAGGACATAGGTAAGCAGCAATGCAGGACATTGAGGGTTTCTGTCTAGTTTCACTTGTTGGTGAGATGTCCCACAGAGATTTTAGAATGACTTTGAGACTTCTACGCCCCATTCAATATCGTGGCCCACCTGATGCCAGTGAATGGGGTCACATGTTAATTACATATTTGAAAACTCAGTCTTCTGAGGTACAGAAGAGTTTCAATAATATGTTATCTGTGGCAGTTGTTACTTGTGTGTTCAGTCCTGAAGTACTTGCTGTGTACTCTTTCTTAAACTGGATATGTCTGCATGAGGTTGTGAAGATCAGAACCTGAAAGTGTTGTAGCGTTATGAAAGAGAAAAGAGAAGCAAATGTTGAGATTTTTCTTTATTCAACCAACAAATAACCTCAGTATTTGCCATCATTGTGATCACACTGCGTTTACTGTGTGGTGGTTTTCTGCATGTGCATCCCCTCGAAGAAAAAGAATATGCAAAACTTGCAAGGCAGAATCACATCTACTACTGGATATTACCCTGTTCACCATGTAGAATTAGAAAGTTTTATAAGGTATATCCTGACTCCTGAAGTCAAGACTACTCAGAAAAGTTGAGGTAGGCTTTTTTCGTGTCACGTATCATTACCCAGTAATGCCCATCCATCTTCAGTTTGCCCCAGTGAAGACTTAATCAAGCATGTAGAAGAAAAAATAGTTCTTACTTAATCCATCAAAGAATGGCTCAAATTTAAAACAGGGGTGGTTTGGTGCTGCTCTTAGCTGAAACAAGGTTGTTAACATGACACAGAACCATCACAGTCATGCTTTATGTGTGTGCTTTCATGTTCAGACAAGTAGCCAACAACTCTGTTCAGTGCTGTGCATTAACTGTGTTAAAAATTCATGGATCTTCTCGGTGAAGATAAAAGATAGGGAAGTGCTTTGACAAACTGATAGGCTTGAAAAGGGGGGGATGTTTTGATTTTGCTTGAGTAGAAAGATGTCTGTTTGTAGTTCTGTGCTTCAGGATAAAACTGCTGTTGAATGAGGATGTTCTTTATTCTGAACTGGGTGATTCAGCTGCCAAGATCTAAACGTAACAGGGATCAACTTGCACGTGGACTCTGGTAATAAGAGAATTGTTTTTCAGTTTATTTGTCAATATGTGAGAACAATGAGCTGGAGGTGGAGATGCTGCCATAGAACAGGGAAAGACTTGAGTGTTGTTATTACTACAGTAATGCCAAGTAGGGCTGTGTGACCAAAAGGATCTAAATGCCTGAGCAGAAAAATGCAGGAAATAGTTGCAGGCAGGCAAGAAGAGGATGAGGAAATGAGAGAGACAGCTAGGGCAGAAAAGACTGCCATCCTCGTGTCAGGATCTGGGAGTAAGTGCTTTGTTATAAATTGCAGTGCCAGCTATAGGGCAGAGGTCATTCATGGCATCCAGGTGACAACAGATCTGGCCTATATTTTATAGAGGTCTCTTTGCATCAAAGTATACTGCATTGTACATTGCTTTGAAATCTTCCCATGTGCTTCCATTCTTCAACTTCCACTCTTTAAATTGATTTCTTTGCTATCCTACTTTGTCCTGGTTTTAACATATTGTTGTTTTTACTAATGTTTTGGTGGTGGGCTGTTACAGGACTTTTTTGTTTGTTTCTTCACTGTCTGTTTTGTGCGGGTTTTATTATTTGATGCTCAATGTCAAATTATTCATATTTTTGCTTCATGTTGGTGTTTTCCTAACTATAGTTCTGTCATGAACCTACTCAAATCCTTTCAGTGACACATACTTAGTTCCTGTAATTGCCTTTTAAAATGGAATGATTTCTTGGATTAAATCTAGAATCTAGAACTAATGTTACAGAAAATAAGGTCAAAGAAATCAAGTAACATTTCTTCCAAAGTTGCAATAGAGTCTTTGGATCATCTTCCATCATTAATATCAATGCCTGACAGCACTTAAAACTTTAATCATGATTTGCAACCTTCTGAATTTTATTGCTTCTGCTGTCAGAAATCAATTTCAGTACTTAATGGCATCTTGTAACCTCAGTCAAGGAGAATGTTGGCTTGATTTTTATTCTAGTTTCACTCTGAGTTTCACTGCTAAACTACACCCTTACAAAATTATCTCTGACATTCTTTGACAAAGTTGTTTTCAGTTCTCTGACTTAAAGAAAATATCTTCGTGTATACAAAATAATTCTGAAGTATTTCTCTCCATTGATAATTTTTATTGAGCTGTAACTTCATGTAAACTTCAAAAAGTTGTAGATTCTAACCATAAAATACAGTGAAGTGTACGTTTAATCTTAGTCATGCTTGTAGACTTGGGACTTCTCATGCAATTAACATTCACCACAAGTGTCTGGAAGATCAGACCATAAACTGATGTTTAATCTTTCTTTTGCTTACTGAGGTTGCAGAAGTAAATGGCACACACTTATAATTTCAAATTAAACATTTAGATTAGTCTTTATTGATTCCTTTTGATCAGGAGACGAATGTTTGAGCTTGATTCTGTCTTTCGTCACTCAATAATTTCAGGCATTGAAATTATTGACCTTGTTGGGAGTTCCCCTTTAATGGCATAATTGCATGATGGAGTCTAGAGTACATTTCTTAAAGGAAATTTAAAAAAAATTGTATTTTTTACAAAAAGCAAACAAACAAACAGACAAAAAAAACACTAAAGGGGGTAGCTCACAGGAACTAAACTAAGACAGAGTATGAGAAATTGTACTGTGTCTAATCGCTCCAAATTTGCAACTTTTAATAGAATTGAACATGCAAAGGGCATATCCCTTGATCTCCTTTAGAAGTGACTAAACATTGGGAAAGTTTCTGCTTTGGGCATGGTACTGTCTACTTTTCTGTAAATTTATTAGTAGATTTTATATGCTTTGAAAAATAGACAACTGTTATTCTCCCACATAAAGCAAAATTTGAATTGAAGGGTGGTAAAATAAGTGATACCCAGTGGACCAGCAGTACATCTAGTTTAGCAGTTCAGTATCCTGACTGGGAAATACTGCCTGTTTTTACCTGTATATAGACTTCTTATTAGAAATGTCATTACCTGTTTGACAGAATGGAAGAGGAATAGTGAGATGTTGACAGAAGGAATAACAGGAGTGATTTCGTGAACCACATCATTTAAACTTGGGTCGTCTTATTCCCCAAGAAACTGTTCCTGGAAAGTTGTTTCTTCATAGAATTAGGGAAACTGATTTGCTATGAAAGTTATAAAACCCAAACTCCACAGAACTGGCAGAGCAAATCACCTTTCCAAAAGCAAAGGACATAATTTTTGTCCCTTTTCAAATCATCTTTATCTTATATACAAGTACTGAGCTCCCTCCTACCATTTCTAATGTACTTTATGTGGGTTTTTTCCAATTACAATAGAATGGCTCTCTGATTTATGTACTGATGACTTTCAGCTAACTTTCCTTGCTGTATTTCATTTAGAGAGCCTCCTGTCTGCACATGATGATGTTTATATAGTGGATGACACAGTTCTGGAACTATCAGAGGTGGAAGAAACGGCATCAGAAAGCAGCTGTTTCGCGTCTGAGGACACCACAGAGGACTCGGGTGTTGTGAGCTCCCCATCTGACATTGTATCTTTGGATTCACAAAATGACAGTATGAAGCTGAGAGACATCAAGCTGGTCAATGGCTACATGGACTCAGCTGAGGCGGATGCGATGTATGGCACAGAGACATGCCCTGTGAAGAACGCCTCCTGCGATAGCATGGAATCTGACAGTGCTCCACAGAGGTAAATATTTACTTGCCGCCAGCTCTTGGAAAATGTCTTGCATGTCGTCCTGGTAGGGAATCATTTAAGAAAACCAACTTATACTTTCTTTTGCTGTTTCATAAACCAGTACCATTGCCAAGTGACTCCTCCCAGTGGAAAGCTCACTGCCAGATCCCCTCCAGTGACATGCTTGTAGCAACAGGCAAAGGTCACTTTTTTGTTTGAACTTGTAGTTACATTTCTTGCAAAAGACCCGCTGCCCTCCAGAGTTGATTTGTTCAAGAAGTCTGAAATAATTTTGTTACAGTTCAATTTATTTTGTATTTCTGATAGCATCTGAAGTGTTTAAAATGTTACTATATGTTGATCCAGAAAAATGACATGGAGGTCATATAATGGAAAATGCAAGCCACCGAAAGCCAGGTGGAAAAGGATTATATTCAGCGAGGTTTGGAGATTGGTTTGGGAGTGTGTGCATGCATCTATATATATATAGTCACCTACTGCTAACCTCCACTGGCATTATACCTTGGGGTGTTTTTTTCAGCATATTTCCTTTTTTTTTTTTTTCACATAAACAAACATTTTTCTGCAGTTTTTCCAAGAAAAGACGAGAACCTGGAATTTAACTAGGAACTGCCTTCAAGCACAAATGACTCTGACACTGTTTGTTTGCCAAAACTCACATAGTTGGTGGCAGAGCTGCAAAGGGAACCCAAAATTTATTGGACTTTGCAAATACAAACTGGCTAAATAGGAAGCTATGCCTCCAGCAAGGAGGGTGGCCTGGTAATACTGACAGGGATCCGTTCTGTGTGATGCTGCAAAGTCATGGGACAGGGGCCAGAAATTCCTCTGAATTCTCAGTTGACACAAAGTCTGTGCTTTCTGGTCTCTCTCCATTTAGCTGCTAATCTGTAGCCCCTTCATAAGAGTATGTATCATGACCTAGTTATTTCCTTCCACACATTTCTGAGTGAGAACTTCATCTTGGATCATGCAGTGGGTGATAACTTAGGGATGAATTAGGCCAAAGTCAGTATTTAACCTATTGGAATGATCTCAGGGTTTTTCTTTATCCGTCAGTATCAATGGGGACAAGGTCAAGCCTCACTTAGATAGTTGCTCATAGACACATTTTTCTTGTGATTTGTCCTTTTGCAGTGTCTTAGGCCATGAAGCAGTTGGAAGGATCAGATAGGCTACTATTGTAACTGCAGTTAAGATTCCAGATGTGATCCAGAAAAGTAACCCATTAATTTCAGTACATTTAGGTTGGTCCTTGTGAGGTAAATAGGCTATTCCAACTTTCCTCAAAATGCAGGATCTAGACTGGCTAGAAAAACACACATGCATTCAGTGGGGGAGGAAGAAGCATTTTGTTGAGCAAAAGACATCAAAGTAAAGCCCTGTAATAACAATACTAATCATCTGCAATTTGGGGGGAACTTTTTCTGGTTTTTTAGCCAATTAAAAGATTGATCATAGGTCATTGTGACACACTCCCTCTTGAAAGTCTCTCCCTTCAGCCAAAGATATATATTCTGTACATTTAGATTTTTCTTTGCCACACAAACACAAAATTTTTACTAGTTGGAAAGAGTGCACACAGAAGAGACAGTGAGACATTTCATTAGCTAGTCCAGCAGAACTGTTGCTTAGGGGTCTTTTGCTGAGCCAAAGGAGAGGAAGCTGGAAGGATAGTGTGGAGCATCGCCTGTTGGAGTCAGAGAGGTGGTAACAGCCCCCTCAGCTTTTGTGAGGCCAGTGCCGTAGTTTCATGTCCAACCTTTGGCCCTCAGTCCAAGTGAGAGATTGCCAACCTGGAGAGGGGTCCATAGGAGAGCCACTGAGAGGGCTGGGGCACTGGAGCATGTGGGGTATTTGGGGCAAGGGAAACAACTAGGTTGTTCACCTTGGGAAAGCAATGTGGGTAAGGAGGGACCTGATTGCAGTCTTTTCCTAAACCAAAGAAGGACTATGAGGCTTCTCATAGGATATTCTCAGGAATACACTGTGAAAGAACAGGAAACAACTGTCAGCAGCTGCCCTAAAAGAAATAAAAATTGAATATAAGGAGGAAATTCCTTAAATTGGGAACTGTTAAGCAGTGGAAGAGGTTGCGCAGAGAAGCTGAGGAATCTTCATCTCTGGAGATTCTCAGAACTCATGCAGGCAAAGCTTTGGGCAGCCTGGTCTGGCTTTGAAATTAGCCCTGCTTGGAGCAGGAGGTTGGACAAGGCTTCCAACTTATTTTTTGCTGTGCTTTATTGTGCTAAATATTTTGTATTTATCTAATATATGCATAATTATAAAAAAGTGATTTGGGATTAAAATAGGATACGGTTGTTGTTCTGTGGAGAATGCAATTTTTTTTCATAAGTACTGGGGGTTTTTTAGACTCTGGAAGGCGAAATTGCTTCGGATCGGCTTTAGTATGTGGCGAAAACTTAACATTTGTGATGTATTTTAATCTTATGTCAGCAACCACTTAGATTGACATAACAGTGATGCTGATAGTAATAACTGTTAAAATGTTATGCTCTGAATGTGCCAGTAATATTTGAAGGAAAATCTAATTCCACTCCTAACTTATCTTTGTAAACAAAACAGCTTTGAAAATTGTGCTACTCTAAATCCTTTTGAGGTCAAGTTACTGAGTTTTCAAAAACCACTTCCTAAGTGTAGAAGGAAGGAAAAAATAGTTTTTTAAACCTTTTTGCATGAAATTCTTTTTTTAATCAGATATAAATCAATTCTGAGTACAATTTTGGGTACAGCCAAATCTGGAGAACATCAGTTTCCACTTCCACTGTCAGAACAGCTGCCACCCCACTAATAAAATGTGTCAGGACTCTGAAATTGTACATAGTTCTTTGATGAACAGGCTGCTTTCAGGACCAAACCAGCCTCTTAAATCCCCAGACAAGTCAAAATGCGCTTCATGTGAATACTTGATACCAAGCTATTCAGAGCTTTAAATATATTTCATAAGCTACAAAACTTGAATGAAAATTTTACGCAGAGTTTATTAATTCCTTTCTATCTTCTTCTTGGTACAGTAGTGATCCATGTACCAAGATCTAACTCAATTCTAAAAGGAAGATAACAACAAAGAAATTGGAAGAACATGTTGCTACTGTAAAGTACCGGTGGTTAGCAGCAGTGAATCTGAGTCCTCCTTGAAGCTGAGCACTACTGAAGCCAGAAATTTTATTTAGTGACTAATTTGGCCAAGGCATGGAAAAAAAAGGTTAATAAGAGTAATGGAAACATTTAGCTTGTCATTTTAAATTGTAAAGCTGACTAAAACTTGGGCTTTTCACCCAGTGAAATAACAAATTCCTAAGGTTTTATAATTCTGTGTACTAAAATCATTTTGTACTCTCTGGGTTGTGTAAAGTATCCTTAAAGTGGAAGCAAATTATATTTAGAGTGTGAAAGGCTATAAAAAAGTCCAGGTAGTATTTTGCACATGCAAATGTAAAGAACTGCAGTGAAGAGCAGAATCAAGTCCACAGTTCTTACCTACATTTGGTCCAGAGGCTTAACCTGTGCTCCAAGAGATCAAGAATATTTTACCATGTTACTTACTTTAGTTAATTGCATATTTACTTTTAAATTCATTTTTCTTCAAGTTTCTGGAATTGTTTACTTGGTGTCCTGGGTGATCTCTGTGTGACTGAAATGCCTGATAGCATCAGAATATCACATCAGGGTCTTCATGTGCTGAAGTCAAGGAAACTTGTGAGCATTTAAGGATATAGTCTTCGACATGCGATAGGTTTGTCAGCACATAGCAGGATAATAGTATGTCCGGGTCGGAAATGGCATGTACCACAGGCTTTGCACACGCAGAAATGATAGCCACAGCAGAGCTCAGATCTCATTCAGTTCCCAGAGCATGGAAACAGAAATTTCTGAAAGAAGGTACATGGATTTTAGGGTTTCCAACCTGGGGTCTTTGCTCTATGGTTTTGTTTTCCAGTTCATGGGGGCAACTTGCAAGTGCACTATTTTTTGTTTGGTTTGGTTTGGTTTTAGGATTCTTCTTCAAGCAATAGTGATCTAAATACACATATTAATTAGCAATTAGAATATCAAAACAAGTGTCAAAACACTCTACCCTTAGCTCTGCCTCTAACCTCTTAAACCAACTTGGTCTCTGCCCATGATACCCCCTTCTGCCAGTGACTGTTTTTTTATGGTAAAAACCATAACGCAGCTATCGTATCTCATGATCCATTTGTACAGTGCCTGGTGGAGCAGAACCCAGACTTCAGCTGGAGGTGCCAAGGGCTAAACCTTATAAATAGTTGACTAGATGCAATGTTTGACTGTGAATGTTTTAATATTAACTGCTGACTCTGAACGTTGTACTGCACAGTTCTCTTTATTCATCTCCTGTCTTACGGTTGATGTCTTTGTGTTATGTATCTGTTCACCAAATTTTAATATATAGTGTTAAATGAGTAACAAGAAAACCACAGAGAAGCTGAAATGTTGCTTATGTAGCAGTAAGTACATCTCATGATCTCACAGTGTTGCAACCCTGTCCTCCCATACCCCCTCTTTTCCCATCCCTTGTGTGGTGTCATCACGCAAGCTCCTAGGGGCAGGGATCAGACAATTTTATATGCCTATAAAGCATCATGCACACCTACTGTCTGGAGCTTTATAAATAATTACACATTAAAAATTATGTTAAAACAATATTATTAGGGATGCTAGGTCACACGCTCAAAATTAAGTAACTTTATTATTAAGGCTCTCTGTGTAACCTTAGATTCCCCCCTTTAACCTTAATTCCCTCCCCTTTTGGACAGCATGATAACGTCACTAAAGTTAAAGTGGTATTCAATTTTTGTTTTCTTTTCTTTCGAAGTTTCAGAGCTCAGTTAATAAAACAAATAAACTACCATTTACTCAGTTCAAATGCTGTTCTGGAAACAGGACTATTTAATTTCCTTTTGCTCTTTTTATCTTTCTTGTCTCACTAGTATCCACATGCCGTGTAG